GTAGCCCACAAGAGGATGATCAGCAACATAAGAACCCCAGCCTCGGCCGAAACTAGAGGTTCTTAAGTGCGGGCACCATCTGTTGTACTCCAACTGCAAACGTCTTCTTCGTTCACTTCCTGGATGACCCTGGACCTGTCCAGATCACCCTCTCCCCTTCGCCCTAGACAACCGCTGTAGGAGCTGTTTGTGGTTCGTGGTGCCTTCAGCTGCACCGAAGTAGTCCCTTCATGCGAGATATCTTGAGCAATGTTGACGAATCGCGTGGTACGGACATTGTTGCGCTTTTTGCACTGTTGCCTTTGTTTTATGTGTATGTGTATGTGTATTGTGTATGTGTGTACCGTATATGACACAAGATAACACACCTACACAAGAAAGCACACCCCCCACAGAATACGACACCCCGGTGATAGTTTTGGCATGTTGGGCGCTTCTGACAAACCATCGATTTATCACCGGGGGTACATAAGATAACACACCCCGGTGATATTTTTAGTTACGCGGAATATAGTCGCGGGGCCCCTCCTTCTTTATCACCGGGGTGACAGCATCTGCCCTGGGCAATCACACACACAACCACGTCAGCTGTGTGCGGGGAAACACCCCGCATGGAGACCCCCAACAACATGAACGTGCAGGCAGAGCAGAATGCAGCCGCAGGTACCAAGTAAACGTTTTTGTGAGGGGGGCAGGAAGGATGGCGCACGCAGTCTGTGGCCACCGCCAATCATCGTATCGGTCGAGGTACCTTCGGTTTTTAATTTTTTCTTGCTCGATTCAAGCCCTTATTTTGTTTCAAACTTTTTTTGGCGATGAGAGGGTTGAGTTATCGCCGAGGTCATGTGCTCAGGAGTTTCGTCACGTCGGTTGAGCCCCTTCGTTTTTCCACGCCCCTTTAGGTAGGTCCCTACACTGCACGTGTACGTGCAGGCATGGCTATCACACACCCTTTTATCGCACCCCCTCATCTATCACACCCCAAAGCACACGCTGTGGCTGTTCGGACGGGCTATCTCACCCCCTTTTATCACACACCCTCATCTATCACACCCCCAAACACACGCTGTGGGTGTTCGGACGCGCTATCACACCCCCTGTTTTATCACACCCCCTTAAGGCCCCCTCGTTTTTTTTTTTTTGGCGGTAACCATAATGGTGGTCGAGTAGATCATGTTGTGCGGGGTCGAGAAACCTCACTCCGCGCAACGGGGGATGATCGTACCACGTTGTGTTAAAATGGTCAAGCTTCCTCGAGGCAGTTACACAGTGCTTACAACTGTCTCTGAAGTGAAAGCACCAGAAAATAAATTAAGTCATACGTAGCTGTCATCCGTACGCAAGGAAGTAAGCACAAGATGCCGAACACCCTTAGCAGGATGCAGCTCACCCTTCATGCGACTCGCCAAATACCTCACGGCGCTTGCTTCGTGCTTGGTGATGTGAGAGCCTGGTCCGGTGAGAACCCGGCGTGCTCCGTCCCGGCTTTGTAGGGATGCGAGGTCCATGGTCAAACGACTACGGCATGCACGACTATGAGTACACCCCCCCCCCCCCCCTTAAGCCCCCCTGCGAGCTGCACTTTATCACCCGGGGTACACAAGATAACACACACCCCACAGGACACCACACCCGGTGATAATATTTTCAAACTCCAAAATGTTATCACCGGGGTGTGTTTTCTTGTGTCATATACGGTATGTATGTGTGTTTGTTTGTGCGTATGTGTGTTAATGTTTCCAGCTCGCCCTCTCGATCTAGTTTGAGACTGACTCTTGCTTCTTTATGTTTCTACATAGCTCGCCCTCTTATGTTTGTTTTGAGACAGCCTATTGCTTTTCTGCTTTCCGCTCGCCCTCTGAATCCCTTTGAGACTGACTCTTGCCTTTGTGTTACGTACTTTCCCGCCGCAGTCTGTCACATGTCGGTCGGTTGCCGAACGTTTTCCCTTTCACAGTTTTTCAACGCGACCAAGGTTTGTTCTTCCTTGTGGTGCCACCCCCCTCTGTGTGCATCGTTAAGGTCCCCCCTATGGTTTGCTTCGCAATTTTCTGGTCCGACGTTCCGCCAGTGCTTCTATTGCATGCCACGGCCAACAACGTATTCCATACTGCTACATTCTCTAGCTATTTTTTAATGCAACTGGCCTTCATGTACAAGTAGGATTGTTTTTTCGCACGCCTCCCCCCGATCGCAAGCAAGTACGTATTCTCGTGACATGCGAATGTTTTGTTTTATGGCGCTTGTGTCCTGCCCGTTTCTTTCGCCGTTGTTCACTTGTTTTTCCCCGGAAAACCCCTCTTTCCATGCTTTTTTTCCATTTCGGTCAACCCTTCACGGTTTTCCATGTCGTTCGCAAACCGATACATAGGCTAGGTTTTCGTTTCGTGTTTTTTCATTACAGCACAAGATCGCATCGTCGCCCTCCTTTCCGTAAGGTTTTGTCTTACTTGATGGCGGAGTCGATTTGTTCATTGGTGCAAGATCGTTTGTGATTTTCCCTTAACGATTTCGTCACTGACGTACATGTCAACTGCGAAACAAATAGCGACATGAGGCACCCGCAATCGGCATGAAGAGCAGCGAAGCAATCATGAGTTGAGGGACCAAGGCTCATGGAAGCGGGGATGCTTGTAGGTGCGAGAGGGAGAGAGCGCCAGACCATCCATCATCCACCGTCAATACGGCAACAACACACCCACGACGACGACGACTTCTATGTTACACGTCTGTCTTCGCATGCATATAGAAGACAGCAAGGCGGTAAAAGAAAAAATGGTTGCTCGACATCCCTTTTCATGGCAGCAGTCATCGCCCACTAAACAACAGGCGAACCCTTCGTGCACGTACAGGAGCAACGAACACAAGCTGAAATGAATGTGCGAGGACCCAATTGTATCACAAACAAAGTCAACGGAGGCATGCAAACAACACATAAATTAGAAAACAAGCATCACTCCCGATCACCCAATCACCACAACATATTCTGACCAACCGCTTTATGCAACTGCACCAAATCAAATACACAGCACTATATATTGCACCTATTGATCATTTGCAGCCGAGTCCTGTGGAACTGGGTTATTATTGTGTAATGTCGAATTGTAAGAGACGTTGTTTTCGCGATACCGGGGTCCCGACAACATTTTGGACACTCACTCGCAGAGCCGCAGAGGAAGAGGGAGTAGAGGTCTCAAAGGAGGACAAGCTTGAGAACGCGAAAGAGGACTACGTACATAGTACACGAGCACGCTACAGGATAGAGACGCTGGCCAACATAGGGCCACAGAGTATTGTCTTGTTCACGCCTGTGACAACATCTGGCGATGCTTCGACTCAATTCCAACAAGCTACAACCTCAACCACCGCCAGGTTGTTTGGCGCAGCCATCTTCACCACGCGATGTTTGTGATAGTTGTAGTTGTAGCACCCGAGGAGAGAATGTGAACGACGTGGCAGCTTTGCGATAACGTTCTTCCCTCTCTCAAGGACCTCTTTCCTGGGGCAAGGCCAGCAGAGGTTTGTTATCGATCCCACACGCTGCTGCTAACCGGGCAGGTTGATAAATACCAAATTAGTATATGTACAGTGCTTGCCTTATCTGGGTCCCCTCGCCTCTGTGATTGGACCAGGGTCGGTTCTGGTGTTGGATGACGGAATGTGGCGCAGTAGAGTGATGCTGGATCTTCAATTCCAGCTCAGCGAGTTCAATCGACCAGCGTTCCGAGACTGCATCGTGAACGAGAAGAAGAGGCTGTTTGATGCCTGATCGAAGCGAGGAACGGTGCTGCAACCGTCTCCACAATGCAAAGGCGGTCAGCGTCAAGAAATATCTCGGCGCTCTACATTGTAATGCGCATCAAGCCTTTGCTGGTGCCCACGCCGGGGGATCGATATTGGCGTTCACAGCGCGTCGTTGCACATATTATCGAACTTTGGCCCCTTCCAGAGACCTGGTACAACAGATTTTACCCGCTGGCGCGGATATCATTTCATTGGTCAGCCCGTCCCGCGCAATCGATGCGAATGAATGCGATAAGCTTGGCGGTTCTTGTGAGATTGTCCACTCGTTGGTCGCAACGCTCCCCGACGGAAACCGTGGCCTTACAAGGGGAGTCTTTCAGTGACTGCAAGCATGAATCACTTTCCGAAAAGGATGGTGACGTTAGGAGAAGGAAAAATGTACATATAGCGCGGTACTGTAGGGGAGAGATCGGAGTTGCCTGTACTTCCTGGTGCGCCAACGTTCTTGCATCAACCCTCCGACCGACAAGACTCTGAGAAAACGCCGAGGTGGACATCACGTCGCGGTAAGAAGAGAAGTGGTTTGGGACGACGGTATGTTCTGAGATAGCCCCAGTGTGCCTACCCGTGCAACCTCTGCCCTTTGTCTCACGCCAATTGCTCCTCGTTGCCGAATCAGCGAGCGCCAACGCACCTCGACTTTTCATTTTCTTCGACCAGGGTTGGCCAGAAACGACTTGTTGGCTTCAAATCCCGACAGCGAAAAGACATGCAGGTCTTGTTCGCGTTAACGCGAAATAGCGCATACGCGAACACTGTTCTACCCATCGGCTGCCAATCTATCTGGCACCTCTCACTCTACCCTCTCCTCGCCCGACCCCCCCCCCCCCACGTGTCGCTGCATCACTCTAACGCCAGGTTTCTCTCGCTACCGTCAGGTTTTAAGCGTCTTCGTGGCCTCCCTCTGCCTGCTTGTTTAGGCTGTTACCCTGCCATGCTCTCTCTTTCAACGCTCCGCCCTCGCACACGCTCAATCGCCAATAGCTTCCAAAACTCCACATACACCGCACCCCGCAAACATCACTGCTGACTTCAGAATCGCAAGGCACAACAGCGGGGCCACACAACAACCAGGTATGTATTCCGACCAAACGACCGACAGTAGCATCCTCCTCGCACTCCTCTCCCCACGTAATTCGAACGATTTTCCGATTCGTCTCCGCCAGGGTTCAGTCGTGTGACTGCCTGCAATTGGCCTACGAATCTTGCTTTTCCTCCGGCTCCTTTCGTGAGGCCGACACGTCGATCTTCTCCTCTTCTCCTCCCCGTGCCCCTACGGCCGAATCTGTGCCTTGCTCCCCGCCGTTGTCTCTTCCCCGCCGCAACTTCTCCGTGACGTCACGCTTCTCGACGGCCTTGACCAGGTCCCTGAGCGGGTTGAACGCGGCCGTAAACGCCTCCAGCGGGGTTTTCCGGGCAATGTCCGTTCTCAGCTTGTCCGAACCGCCGCTGCGACCCCCGCCGCCGGCGTCATCGGTCTCCGCTCTCTTGACCGTATTCCGGCGGATGTTGGGGGCGGTGGCATTGGGCATGGTGGGTGTGGCGTCTTGGGCCCAGCGCGGGGTCGCCGCGGCTGCGTTGGGGGAGGGCAGGGCGCCTGTGCCCCGCTCGCAGGCGAACATCGTCTTGACGTGTTCCAACTCGTCGTCGCGGATGCAGCTGCAAGCACACATATTTGTTCGTTCGTTGGTTCGTGACGAGGGATGTTTTCCGTGAAACGTTTGCGCTGCCCTCGTGCCTTCGCACAGGACTTTCTTCACATGCTTTTGGGTTGCGTTCGTTTGTACATGCTTTACTCGCGCTTGAGTAGAGCAGTATCCGAAACTTAGGGCCTAAACACGCAGCAGAGCGCATATCTAGCTCTGTTACAATCACTCGTGTGGACGTGGTATCTGTATCTGATGATGACAAGCTTGTCGCAGAGATGTGCAGGCGCAAAGTCGACAGCAACAACTGGAACGACGGCCGAGGAGGTAACACGTTTGCACGCATAAGTCATGCATATGTCGGCGGTAAAGGCTGAGTCGCCGATACGATATCACCGCACCTGAAGACGTCGTAAAGGTTTTGAATTCTCGGTCGGCGGCTGAAAGCAGGCCGACTGGTCTGGAACTCGTCGAAAAGGTACATGTCTCCCCCGTGGTAGTAGTCCAACGCCTGTAACGGAAAAACGAAGCCAGCCCATGTCATCCACTCGTTCACGTTTTAGAGGGTATTATACTTCCATGTGTATACAGCCTTTCGTGCCACGCAACCATGTTGTGCAATATCGTGTACCCCGCGTTTATACTGCAACAGCATAAAAAAACAAACAACGACCATCCGGGACACACGCATCGCGTTTCTGCTGAAGGATTTCAAATCAATCCGCGACGTTCCAGCTGAATCGCTCCTTGTATGCCCTTCGGGTGGTCCAGACCAGAAGTTCGAATGCCGGCCATGAATAAAACGGTGGAAACCTCGGCTAAATAAAGTCGACGAGGCAAAGCCTTCACGAATCTCCAAAGAGAATAGTTGAAGACGGGGACCCTAGTTGGAGCTATTAAAAGTTGTGTGACCCCGGCCAGTGTACTCAGAATGCTTGGTGCCGAAGGGTGATGGAGTACATCGGCGTCTTGAGACCAGGACGGATGATCCAGAAATGACAACGCCACGTGAGGAATCGCATCCTACCACAAGTACTATTCACACATTCACAATCCTCTGGCATCAGGTCACGTTCTCATGCTGTGCCGATCTCACCTGTGGAGTAGGCGGCAGGCTCTTTAGAAGCTCCTCGTTGGCTTCGGCGAATTCCGTGTAGGTGTCCACGGCGTGGCTCTCGATGAGCTCGCTGAAGTTGTACGCCAAGAAGGGTGACACCAGATACCCCTGCACGATTGCGAAGAAAACAGCGGAGGAGGTACAGGAAGCTTGGGTTCATGGCTGCTTTGCGGCGTGTACATGCGCCGAAGAGAGAACGGCGGCGTCGTGATACGCACGTGAAGGGAGTGGCGGGGCACGGGCACCACCCGAAAAACGATAAAAATGAGGCCGTAAAATAGCAAGAGCAGCAGTGTCTTGGAAATTGGAGAGCAGGCTCGCTGGAGTTTCAAACCAATAAAGGGCGACACCAGGTAAATAAAATGATTATTGTGTGCGGTTGTACCATATCTTGGATCTCGTACACCAACAGCAGCAGCAGCAGCAGCAGCAGCAGCACAAAGGCGAGACATGATAGATGTACGTCGTGTACCGCCCTTGCCGTTGGGATAAACTCACCAGTATCAGCACGGAGAAGTAGATGATGGCGGCGTGTCTGGCCAAGAAACGGTCGGACCAGCGCGTGTCTCCTCCTAGCGACTCCATGATCCGCAAGTGCTGCATCTCATTGTACTCCTGAAACAATCGATCCCGACGCCCAACGCACCCGGAAGGAATATGCGACCGCAGCATTGACGAGCCGGCCCAGATTGTCAAGCAATCAAGCACCAAACAACGGGGTGTTTCCGGAGATAGTCCAGGCGGGGTCCAGAAGGGAAATGATTTTTGGGCGGGGAGGAGAGCAGTCGCTGGACATCATGCTCGTTGAGGTCAGAGCGGCGAAGGCGGGAACTCGAACCAGACACAGAACGAAGAAGTCACATATGATAAGCGTGTTGTCGCAGAGGAGTTCAATCAACAAGACAATCCGCGGTCGAGAGATGTCCCCTGGCGTCTTGCGGAGAGACGTGTCGAGGTTTACCGCAACGGGGAGGGCGGCGTGACAACGGCACAGCAGGGTGATGCGAGGATCGTCCGGCGCCATGGCCGACGAAGTGCACAACGCATGATCGCCGAACTAGACGCAGCCAGGACAGCAGAACCGCACTCCTTCACGGTGTCAAAAAGTTAATGTATCCATCCAATATATATTCCGCTCGCCATTACCACCCGAAAACAGGCTCGTGGGGACCGCATCTTTGCCTCAAAAACACCCCAAATGAGCGTAAAACCTCACGTCGAGGACTACATGGGACGGCAACACAATTCGCGTACTATATTTTGCACATATACCTCAGCGAAGTGAACTTTCCTGACTTCAGCAGCACCACTCCACCAACCCAGTGTCTCATACAGAAACAGCATCGAAAGGTACGAGAAGTACGGCATCCTGGAGATGAGGGCCAGAGCAAGACGGGAAGACAGGGGGGGGGGGGCTCATTCGGTACACGCCGTGCATATTCTCGGAGTCCTTGGGCCTTAACGAAGACCCAAGCATCCCTGCCAATACTGAAGAGGCATACCGTAGGATGAGCTTGCCCGAGTTCCACCTAGGAGTTTGGCACTGACTGACGGCACCATGAAACACACAAATCGAAGGGGCATTTTCTGTCTACAACGTGTGATCAACATATTTCATTTCGAAATATTTCGTGCTTCGGAACAACTTCCATTTCGAGCTTCGGAACAACTTCCTCTAGCAGCAGAGGATGTTATCCCACGATTCCTTCTCAGGAGCTAGCTGGAGGCTCGTCGGCGACGTAACGCGCCTGCCCAGGCACCGGAGTTCATCCGTGGCACATGCAACCGGTGCCAAAAGTCGCCTCGACTGGCTCTATTTCGCAGGGAGGAAGTTCGAACAAAAAAAAACTTCGCAAGAAAAAAAAAACTTCTCTGCGCAAACAGGAAGACCCTGTATTCCTGCGCAAAGCACACACGGGTTCCCACAGATCATGGGCAACCGTACCGTACAAATACATAAGAGCGACCGATCAAACGCCACGGGTTGCAGCAGTGGGATCTGCGGCAAAGACGCCGCCAGCCAAAAAGCGCAAACTCACGCACACGCGTTAAAGTCACGGGAAAAAAAATATTCCCCGCACATGACGCAAATTCCGCAGGTTGTTCGGAAAAACCGGCCCTACCAAACGTTGAGATGCATCGAACCACCCGTGATGACATTGGCCATGACTTCTTGCGTCGCCCCTGGGAGGCAAGCCACGGAACTACCTCAGGGGATCTTTGTAAATGGAATCAACAGGCACCCCTCACCCCGCCCGGTCGCAAAATGAGACCAAATACGAGACCGAATACGAGTATATCGCGCACGCAGGACATGTATGTTGGGGTGCAGGAACGGCTCCTCCTCAATCTCACCTTGCCACCGTCTCCAAGAACCAAAAACGCTGGATTGGTCGATCCTCGAAGACCACGTCTGCAGCACCAGCGACCGCAAGTGAAGCGCAACGCAGCATAGGACATGAAAGAAAATCAGCGACACCGCATCGGGGGGGGGTACATGACAATTCAGGCACACAATTTTCGAGGTCTGAAGTCGTACCAGTGTTCCTCGAGACCGGGGCTTTTCTTCGCTCAAAAATGTCGACTGAGGTGAAAATATTCGAGCTAGGAGTGCTTGACCGCATTTTCCTGTCGCGCGGGCTCAGACTCTCTCCGCATTCCGCGTTCACCGGGGATCTCTATCGGGAGGCATGAAATCGAACCTAAAGGCCTATTTTGTCGATCGAAACACTCCCCTCGGGGATTCCCTCAACCTACCGGCCCACCAACCCCTGCTCACCGCCTCGTGTCACGTACGAAACCCTCTGTGTATCCTCCTTACCTCTGCCTGCCCGCCTGAAAAGCCCTCCTCACTACAAAACCGTCCGACACGCAAGATCGTGTATTGCACGAACGCAATGAGCTCGTGAATATTGCTCTTGAAGCAAGAGCGCGCCTAGAAGGTAATCAAAATGAAGCACTCCGAATGAATGAGCCTCACCTCTTCACCCTTTCCACGGCCATGAGTACATTCCCGCCCCAACCCACCCACCCACCCCCTCCAGCTCGCGGCTACATACACACGAAAACGGCAGATGCCAACGTCTCACCCAAGAACCAGCAGAGGGCCTTGTAGGGCGCCATCACATACCAAGGGGTCTGCGACCGCAGGATGTACCCCGCGGCCCTCAACCCCTTGCGGGATTCATCCTCGAGGAAGGCCTTGGTTGCCGCTATCCTGGCCGTCTCCCTGTCCTCGATGGCCTTGTTGCTCAGCTTGAGCTCGTTCAGGCGGTTCTGCAGGTCCACCACCTCGGGATCCTGTGGGAGGTCCACTCGCGACGGCCGGAGCACCGGGAATACAGACCTGCCGAGGGTACGCGGTTTGTAGGGGGGGAACGCGGAATTGTGTCGGTGTGACGTGTGGGGTGTAACGGTGATCGGGCTCAACCCAACCCATTGTCGGAAGTCAGGTTTAGTGAGGTGTGGAGATACGTGGTACGGTAGCTTGCGGAACAGTGTGTTGTTGTGTTGGTGACGAGGAAATGGGGAGTCGGGGTTTGGTGACGTAAGGGCGGTACTGTAGTTGGTCCGCCGTCGGTGCCTCGCTAGAGCACACTCCGGGATCAGTCGGCGTTAAAATGCAGTAAATGCGGAAGTCTCGCACGGAATTTTCTCATAGCCCGGCATTTGCGTTGCGCGCGGAGCCACTGCAAGAGTGTCACGGCAACCAGAGCCTCCTGGATGCCCTACCGCACCCAATGCTCTTCCGCCAATCGCTAAGTACCGAGTGTTCTGCAGCGCTGGTCCTGTTAGTCTGCCAGGAGGTCGGAGAATAGGCCAGGGTCTCATGGCGTGCCCTAGTGAGGGTTGGGCACTTAACCCTTCCGTGACTACAGGCCGATTCAGCTCCGTTCTCAGCTCCGATCACTTTGCGTGCCGAAAGATCGCCGTTGTGCCTCGGCTAAGAGCAAAAAACATACATACATAGAGACCAGCAGGGAGACACAGGCAGCCCACCCCAAAAATACGCTTATCAGCAATGCGCACAGGACTCACATAATACAATACTATTCACCCATGCCTAATCTCTCTGACGTGGTGCAGACATCCTTTCCAGATCCAATCTACTGCCTACCGGTACTGTATGATTCAAACGCAAAATACCACCGGAGGGTACATACAGTACCCTGAACATGTGATCAACCCGGTGCCGCATCCGCGGGGGAGAGCAGAGAAATCGCACCGGAGCCGATGCTAACGTACTGCCTCGGTGCTTGATGTTGTTGTGATTGCGGTGCGTGTGGTTCCCAGTAATGGGAGTGAAGGGTGGGTCGTCTGCTGTGTGCAAAATTTCGCTCAAAGGCAAGGGTTTTCGGGACTACAGCTCCGATCACAGCTCCGATCACAGCTCTCTATTTGTAGTACAGAGTAGTAAAATTTATCACGATTTTTATGCATTTTGTGCGATAGTGGATGATGGCCTCGATTCTCTGATGAGCGGGCCGTTTTTTTCGTCGATCTGGCGCTTCTGTGAGGCGGTTTCCCGTCAGCGTCTTCGCATCTAGCGCCGCTAGCATATGCGCTTGCCGTATGCTCTGTCCAAGGATGAGGTGGAGAACATGTGCCAACAGGTATTGCTTGCACAGGCACATCCTCTGTGCGGACGGTTGCTGTCGGAGACAGGCATGCACACCTGTTCAGAAACTACTGCTGCTGTACAGTATATTTCTGTCCGCATAGCTGCTACTGCTGTACAGCAGTACTACTGTACTCCTGTTCGTCACCCTTACATATACCGCGTCCCCATCCCTGTGAGCCCCACACATGAACCTACTGCTGCACCATCCTTGCCGCCGTGATTTATGGGTGTACAGTACACACATGCTTGGAAGATCTTTGACCGCAGAGAGCCAGTTGTGGGGAAAAACACAAAAAACAATCAAATTAACCCAGTCACGTAAGGGTTCATGGGTGTTCCGGGTGTCCAAGACGGATCCTCTGCCAAACCCTTGTTGTGGAAGCGGAACACGTAACGCCGGGGTACTCAAAGAAAATCGTAAAACCTGCTTGTAACACCTGCTTGCCATAGCTATTCGTTGAGGCAAACATAGTAAGACGATGATACCCCCCCGTTCTCCCAAGTTAGCGCTTACTCACGTCTCGAGAAACCTATCGATGATCGAGAACGGTCCAGCGATGCCGGTGTCCTTGAACTCTCCGAAACGGAAAGTTCTTCGAAGGGCCCGGTATTCTCTCGTGAACGTCCACCACGCCAAGGTGCTCGCGCTGATCGGCACAATGCTTTCCACCTCCCGCGTGTCCTCCTATCGGTGCGGAATGAAATAGAAATATGAGACCAGGGTGACAACAAGAAAAAATCATGTTGGGTAGAGAAGGCCGCCTATCTCTACCTCACGCGTGTGGCTGAGGTGACAAAGAACGTAGCTAACACACAGAAACATGCCCTCTCCTGTTATCTTCCTGTCCCTCACTCTCTCTCTCTCTCTCTCTCTCTCTCTCTCTCTCTCTGTGTGTGTATGTGTGTGTGTGTGGCTCTCTCTCTGTGTTGCGCGCAAAAGCGATGCAAGGGATGCTAGAGCATGACGCGGGCTCGGCCCCTCGAGTTCCTCGCTGCAGCACCATGAATCAAGAAGCCTGTCGTCGCAAGGAGATGGCCGTCTGACGTGATCTACAACGCGATACCAACACGCAAGTTGAACACGCCGCAATAGAGAAGACGCAACAGTGGCGAGGTGTAGACAAAACAAGACACACGCGCCTGCACCAACACACGTTTCTCTCAACGCTACAAATCTGTACACTTCTTTCCAACGGGTGCAACGCAGGAAATACACTCACACTAGGCCCTCAACGACACTGTTTGCTGCATACGTCTACGAGTACCACATCACATCGATTCGATTCGGTAATTCCGCACCAGGTATCGGTACCCGTAGTCGCCGGCCCGAGTCTTGTCTTCTTCCGCGAGCTCCACCACCGACTGCCCGCCGAGCGCAGACATGACGTCGTTGAGTTTTCCCGCAAGTCCCTCCATCCAGATAGCCTGCAGCGCAGCCTGGATGAGAACACCCACAACCGAGGGACGCGGGCGCGGTGGTGCAGGTCCTAGGTCGATAAATTACTGGCTGCATATACACCCGTTGCGAGACAAAGCACTGTTCCTACAGCAGTACCCTCCATACAAAAAAAACTTCTGCCAACACTTGGCATCTCTCACTGTTCGTTCCGTGACCCTGTTGGAGGTTGCCACTACGTCTCAATACCCTCAATGAAGATCTCCTAAAGGCAAGGGTTACTACACTTGCCGTGCGGTTTACAGCAACAATAACAACACCACTCAGCACACGCCAAACCTTGGTGCGCAAGTTTTTCGGGTTGTCCATGAAGGCTTGCAGGTCTCTCCACGTCCACGCCATCACACGGATCTCGTCGCTTTTCGCGCGCACGGTGGCGGTACGTGGCTGCACCCTCCCGGAGGTAAACGATGCTGATCAGTCGTTGTCGACGAATCACGGTGGATCCGGGACATTCGGGAAGGCGGGCGGGGGGAGGGAGAGCTCAAAGTTTGCCGTTCTCGTACACTGCCACCTTTCTAGAATTTTTTTAAGCACAGCTTTTTTCCGGGCACAAAAGACAACGTTGATGGTAGTCCGAGGCCGACATGAGACGGAAGGCGGAAAACTCGCCTGCGGTCATCCTCGGGCAACTCCTGAAGGCAGTTCAGCTGGGGACTCCTCGATGGAGAAGCTCTAGGTGTGCAGGGGCAGCCCAAGCAAGGCCGTGCACACCCTTTGACGACAATGTACCAGAACATGATATCAGGTCGTGTGATCATCTCGAGAAAAGCATAGTTTCGAACAAAACTTTGGGGTCGCTGCAGAACAACTGCGAAGGGCAGGCAGTACCTCATACCGCATCCATACGAGTTGCCAACAGAGGTGAAAGATGATAGGACCGCCGCCATGCTCGGAACAACCGACACCTTGCCGTTCCTCGGCCCACCCGGAACTTAAAATTGCTGGGTCTTGTGGCCACCGTAGTAGACAGACATCGGTAGGTCATACATAACCATGAAGCCATCCCCTAGATGATCCTGGATTCTTTCACCGATAGAGATGAGCTTTTTTTTTATAAGTAACAATAGAGCGGGACTTTCACCCAACCTCGTTACTGCCAACAATAAAAAAGACAAATATGCATACTCCGTACATATGCGAACCACGCTGAAAAAACGTTTGAAAACTGAGGGAGACTGCATGCTCTACGACTAACAGGGTGCCACACACAAAACGCCCGACGACCCAACCTAACACCTCTCTTCTGCACCTTCCCAACATAACATGTATGAGACACACAAGACAGCTACCAAACTGTTTTGTTAAGCCTGTTACCCGCAGGGGAGATGTCCCTATATGCTGTCTGGGAAATCGTAGACATACAGGTACTTTCTGACGCTATGCATTCATTGCTAATCTGTCTCTGACTCTTTTCTATGATAGAGATGGATTCGTTGTGTCATAATTTATTAAGAAAAAAAAGAAAAAGAGTACGTGTGTCATTTCGTTTCAGAGGATATGTAATTATTATTTCCATTCATGAGAGAGTACGTACTTTTCAAGAGAGTACAACAGACGTCACACATTGCAACACCATAACCACTGCTGCCCAATCGCCTGCTCTCAAACACAGTGACGCTGTCACTGCATAGTAAATATAGCACCTTCCCCGACGAAGTCGCCTGGTGCAATGGATGCCACCGGTTTGCCCTTGACTTCGATCCGGCATTCCCCGTCAGAAAGTAGATAGAGCTGGCGGTCCCCTGGCTCATCGTAGGTGTCTCCCTGTGATATGAGCAGCTCGCTTCCTTTGAGAGAGATCACCTCGCCAACCTTAAGAAGAGCTGCCCACTCGCGCTCGGTGATGCCCTCCTTCGCCAGCCCAGCACCTGCGGGAGAATCTAAGGGTGGGCAGTCGCGGATTGTTCCCGTTCTTCCCCATACGGCCATCTTCGCGTCAAAGCGGCTGCTGCTACCCGTGCGGCGGCTGCAAGCTCTTGCCCGGAGATCCCCGTAAGGACATGACCGGGGAGAGCGTGGACGCACATCCAACAAGGCATGTCTCTGGCCACCCCACTTTGTAGTTGTTGGAACAGCAGTCGAGAAAGCTGGCACACGGTGCCCTTGCAGTTGCCCTTGCAGTTGCCCTTGCAGTTGCCCCAGAGCTGCTGCTGCTGTGTCAGTGGCGCCCAGAATGCATATCAACCTGATAATCATCCCGACCGCTGCGGTCTGGGATTCTCGAATTATCGAAGTACGCACACAACACGCCGGTCCTTCTGGTAGAACGGGTAGTTGTCTGACTCCGGATGGTGCTCGGTAACTAGGAAGGTTGCAAGTTCAGTCGCAGTGTTCATTCAGTCTTTCGTCTTGCTAACGAAGTTTGGCCGCGCGTTACGCTTCGGGCATCAGACTACCCGTACCAAAACGCGTTTCGTTGGAACACCCGAACTGAGCATTTTGCACGCCGTTGCCACTAGTTGCCGCCGCGACAGATCCCACGCCACGCGGGCTGCCGTATAATACGATTACCACAGAACAACACCATAGGAGCACCAAGGCGGTAGTTCGTTCTTCGATCTCGGTGTTGTTCTCCTGCCTTCCCTTTAAAGCATGGAGGAAACTCGGAGAGACGGGAGGCGGGCCAACCAGATCCGCCCTCTCGCGGCAGAGCAGGGCATCCTCAACAGAGCGGACGGCTCCGCTCGCTTCGTGCAGGGCAACACCTCCGTCCTCGCGGCCGTCTACGGGCCAGCCCCGGCCAAGTCGTTGAGGATGGAGAGGTCAGAGGGTGCGACGTTAGATGTGAGCTTCAAGCCGGAGAGCGGGATAACGTCATCCGCCGATGCGGAATCGGAGGCGCTGCTGCGGAGGTCGCTGGAGGAGGTGGTGCTAAGGTCGAGATATCCCAGGACCGTGGTGTCAGTTATCATCCAGGTGTGCGTCCATAGTTGTGTCAAAGTTGAAGGGAACGAGGCAGGGTGGGTGTAAAGATGTCGCATTCGAGCTTCTATAGCAGAGAAACAACAGCAGTATATATATGGCTCTGGTTCTGGAACGCTGCTGGTGAAGCATGGTGCTTCGTATCTGTACCAAACATATGGAGAGCAATATATAGAAGGGACAGCAAGAGCTCCCCGTACATGCGTATTGAGTGATCTTGCCTCAAACGCATACCGACTACCAATGCCGCCTACCAGCTGCTTCGGTCCGTACTCTATCGTATCTGAGTCTCTGCGACAGCCGCGGCATGAGCACATACCTTTGGCGGCTTTTCTGCGTCTAAGTCGAACTGCCTATACAGCGTGCTGGATCTGAAGCACAAGACACACCGCCACATTCTAAATCGAGATTATATTTCAGGTTTTGTGCTTTGCTTTTTGGAACATATCCCCGGCTGGAATATACCGTTAAGGCATTTCTTGGTTCCCCAGCGAGCAGTTACACATGCCGCCGGCGGTGATATCCCGCTTGCAAAGCGTTGACAGTACCAGTAATTGGAAGCATGTTGCAGCTCCAATGCCGCAATGCTGCACTTGCGAGCAAGAGATGCTGCCCCCGTGTGGCAGCGGCATCTGGACTGTGCTTGATGGCTTGCGCGTCGTTCGGCAAGAACCGGCATTAATCCATGAACAGCGAGCCTATTGACGCGCGCCCTTGTCTACCTTCCCCATGCGCCCAAGATAGGCTACGCCTATGTAGATAACCAGCCACCTTGATGTAACGCGTGCCTGATATAACATGCACAGTCACAAGCACGGCTTACGTTAGGTCGTGCATTTATTGACGAAGTGACGCCACGCCAAAACATATGGTACGCTTTCTCGTTCACGCAAAACGCAATAACACATTCCTTATTAGCAGCACCCACCCAAAATGTCGATTGTGCGCGGTAGCCGCTTGTTATTTCCGTTTTCCTGACATGCGTCAACAACCACCAAAACTAAAAAAACAGGTGATCGTTGACGACGGGGCTGTTCTGAGTGCCGCTCTGAACGCTGCCACGATGGCCCTCCTCAACGCCGGGGTAGAGATGACGGGCATGGCCCTCTCGGTCACCTGCTGCATCACCGCCACGGTCTCTGGCCGGTCCGTGCTCTTGGACCCATGCAAGGCCGAGGAGATTGATGCCGCCGCCACCGCCGTCGTCGCCACTCTCTCCGCCGGTGGTGGAGTCCTGTCGTGCCACGCCGTCGGTTCGATGAGCCAGGAGGAGTATTTTGCGTGCTGCGAGGCGGCGTCGCTGGGCACGACGGCCGTGCGATCGTTCGTGAGGCTATCCGCAGAGCAGAAGGTCAACCGCGAAGCAGAAACTGTCAGATGACGATGGGAGCCTGAGCGTGAATGCAGACTTTTGCAGCGTACTGTGCAATCGAGGGCGCCTTCCTGCATGTTGACTATCGTCGCCGAATCCACCTGACCGCTGCTTTCGCACGCGTGAAGATGAACTTGCCGGGTATGTACATGGGCCAGCGTCACAGGCATTCGCTCTACCATTGTGGTGGCTGTGTAGCGCGTGTCACCCCGCGCTGGAAAGGTGTGACGTGGCGTTGAAATCGAACGAGACTGCTGCGAGTGTTCGTTTGGGCTTACGATGAAGGTTAGCGTGAAGAACCAAGTGTCATGATTCAAAATCGTCGGTCGTCATCCTCAAGCGAATCATTTTGGCTGTCGCACAACAGGTTTCAGGTTCACCCATCGGGTTAGTAGTTCACGCAATAGGTGCAGCTGAATAATGCTGTGTTGGTTAGTACTGGCTTGTTATTGGCCTGCAACAGATGACGATCGGTTTCTTTCCAGCCCAGCTAACAACCATATTGGGCGTGCGCGTGTGAAAATGCTGCTTTGCGAGGAGAGGGCAGGCCGCCACTTCGTTGCCCGATTGCTGTACCAATCCGCGACCGGCGAAGAAGGCCATGATGCAAATGGTGGCGTAGCGTTGGTATTGACAGTGGTTTTCCCTCATCCAGCTGTACGACTCAGTAGTGAAGCCTGCTGCATTCGGTTTTGGTGGGCCGGTTAACCACTAGATGAGACTTTGGAAGATTTTGCGGTTTGACAGCCTCCGGCCTAGTCGGTAGAGTCCTGCACGCCCTACTGTGCATGATATGGTGCCCTGAGAGGCTTTGATCATCGCCATTGGAGTCGGCTTGTCTCAAGGTGCAGCAACTTCCGTGTCGTCCCCCCCGACTTGTCGTCTTGAGAAACGCTTTCATGTCGAAGGCGCAAACCTCCACGGACGTAAATCTTTGTGCCCGTCGGTGGTTTCGTGGGTGCCGTTTGTGTCCCTTTATTGGAATGAGCGAAAAGCGGTCTCCAGGAGCAGCGCTGATGGACCTCTGTTCTGTACACTGTTAAGGAGGCATTTTACACAACATTGAGGGAGTGCTAATAGGCTGCTGCTCCATATGGTCACGGCCAGCTCTTGTGCGTGCGCTCGCTGTACAACATTTTGGAGACTTGTATGCATAGGAGCCAAAACGTACAGATTTGATATCGAAAGATATGGGCGAACGCGTTGCCGCAGGCGCATACCTTCGATTGAACTGGAAGTTTGCCTTCTTTCAGGATATTAATATTTGCCGTGTCGCGTTTTAGCTACTATGCAACGAATGCCCTGGTGGGTTACGGGCACGTTTTCAGTATATCTATCTCCCCATGTTAACTGCAGAGCTCCAGAGTGATGCTACGGTAGGGGGGTCACCTCATTTTACACTTTTGCGCAGGGGCACACACTCTAGGTAAACCTGTAGGTGTCGATTTCGGGGTAAGATCGCCGAAACAGGGGCGCATGTTTTTTCCCACAAGTGTAAGATCTCGCCCTAAAATGCACCCCCCGTCCGCCGTATCATCAGCCTCCATCCCAACTCGGTTGCCATCTAAACTCAGTGTTGAGCCCAGCAATATATAGACGTTGACCCTATTTGTGTTGTGGGTTGACGCAGATATGCGGAGGAACACCTATTTTGAGCATAGTGCAAGGCCCAACTCTGTTTCGACGACGGAGCCACCGAATCAGTGTGGTGCCGGCGGCTGAACCCATTTCCTTACGCCCTTTGTGTATTGTTAGCAAATCTGAAGGCGTGGTTCTAATGAGGAGGTCTGCACTGTCTGGACGGTGATTCGTTGGTTCTATGTGCTGTAATGATATAAAATGAGATGATACATCGGGGGGTGGTGAAGCGCGAACGCATTGGACCAACACCCAGTTGACTGGTGATATCCCTTCACAACAAGACTTCGACGTGTACCTTTGAATCCTGTCTCTGACGCTGGTGAAGTTCATGCTGTGCGCGGGGAGGGATCGCAGGACCTCCGCTGAAAAATCCAGGAAACGCCTGCGTACGTCAGTTTCCCACAGTCTAACTCCAGTACGAAACTACGATCGCAAATTAACCATCCGCCGCCGTCGCTTGTGTACAATGTTAAGTGTCGGGGATTGGAGTCCTTGTTATACACTGCAGACTAGCAGTCCGCGATTTTCCAAACGATCCTTCTATCGTCGAGATCGGTGTGCAACAAGCAGGATTATTGAAGCTGCCGTGCGGTTCGGTTTTGAAACGTTCACGTGTCCTACTCATCGCCATAGTCGATTTGAATGCCTGGGGTCATGTATATGTTGGTCTAGCCAAGCAATGATGCTTGAAGCGTTTCATAATCGGACCGCACAGCAGCTTCAAAAATCCTGCTTGTTGCACACCGATCTCGACGATAAAAGGATCGTTTGGAAAATCGCGGACTGCCAGTCTGCAGTGTATCACAAGGGCTACAGTCTCCGACACTAAATTGTACACAGGCGACGGCGACGGACGGTTAATTTGCGATCGTGGTTTCGTACTTCGGAAAACTGAGATATGCAGGCGTTTCCGGGATTTTTCAGAGGAGATCCTGCGATCCCCCCGCCTGCCCTTAGACCAAGTCTTTACCGTAAAACGTATGCGCGGCGCTGTGCATGCTTGCTTCAAACATCGAAATGTTCCAAAAGGATCCGGGAAACTAAGTTCCTAGTCTGGATGGGTCGTCAGAAACGGAAGGAAGTAAATGGCGCCTGCGCACGACCGCCCACCCTCCCACCCGCCTGAAGCGCCACCAACCCCCTACCATCCAGCGCAGGGCGATCTGCGACGGATCACCCCTCCCGCCCCCACCGCCTCCCGCTCCACTTCCCCTCCCTCCCCACCGAGGCAATCCTTGAGCAGTTGGGCACAGCGAGTACGGTGGCGGGGACACTATCTCTCCTCTTGCCCCTCCTCCGGATGCAGCCACCCCTCTATCAGCTTGCGCAGCTCGAATTGTTGCAGCGGCACTTCCCCTCCCCGGGAAGGCCAACCCTCCAGCAGTTTCCGCCGCCCGAAATACCATGGGAACAGGCTGGATCTCTCCATCCGAACTCTCGAATGGAGTCCTACCCACGGGCCGTTGAAGATCGGAACGGAGAGCGTTTGTTCTGTTTGGGCACATCATCAACCGATGTTCGTTGGCCGCCCGTGCTTCTTCTTGTAGTATTGCTCCAGCTGCCGTGGTGTCTTGGGTAGACTGGAACCCGAGGAACAACTCTCTTCTCCATCTGGTCGATGTTCCACGTAGGTATTGTCCATGGATCGGAGTTGTAGAGCTACGTTGGTACTGCTGCACCTCCCAATTTCCCCTCTTGGTATCCCTGTGCGCCAGTTCGTCTCTGAACTTGGGCTTCTTCTCCAAGGCGTGAATCCTCCCTTCCGCCAATCTATCGTCCACCATCACGGCATACTGCTTTGAGGAAAGCGTGAGGTGCGACGACGATGGCCCACCATGTACGTGAGCACTGTTAAAGCCGGCGGGCCGTTTTTCAATATAGGTGAGATTTCGAAGGTGATTCTACCTGTACAACAAGGATTCCAGAGTGTCGTGATCATCATCATCATCATTATTAGCGCTGTGGTCATGGTGTCATAGACTAGGTCTCAGGTTCACGGATACACAATCCACCCGTCGTTTTCAGAAAGAGTAATGACTTCACCAGAGAAACACACGATGACACGCACACCCGTCCTTGTCGTCAACGACGACCAGCTCAAGGCAACATACAGCAGGAGTGTGCACGCCGTCCTGACCCGCGTTGGGTAACACGGGAAGCACGCTGCACATTTTTTTCAGGCATAGTCTACATCAGTAACATCTCTCACCTCGGCATCGGTGGCTCGGAGTAACTTAATGTAGTACAGCAGTAGTAGTACAGCAGCAGTACATAGTACTGCAGCGCCACCCCGTCAGGCGTCAGGAATTGTCAACGATGTGTAGCTGTAGCGGTAACGCTGCGATTGGCTTGCTCAACAGAAAACACTTGTGACGCCAATGGTTGGACATGGTAGTCACGGGGCCCCTTACTACCAACCCCCGCACCCCGACCCCTGACATCCGGGCACCCCCTCCCCTTCAACCATTGTTGGTCACGCAGGCGGCAGAAGGAACGCGCGAGGGCGGAGGATAGCAGGAAACGTGGCGCATAAGTTGTCTAAATATAAAACCCTCTGTGTGGACGCTCCTCCATGGAAGCCCTGAAGGAAAAGCTCTTGAGGAGCGACTTTGATCAAGTTCGACAACACCCAAAATACCAGGTGCGGCGTTGGTTGAGGTGCTGCTGCTGCTACAGCAAGCTACAGGCAGCACGTCTGTTGCGGGAGGGTTGTGCTTCCCGCCGGGATCCACACATATGTGCAGCAGGGCAGAGATAACACGTTGAGCTTGTCGGATACCCAGGGCTTCACGCCGTAATAAAGAAATCCGTGTGTACGATCCTCAATGCATCAAACCGCGGCGATCAGGAAGGAGCTCCGAAACTTTTTTATACAAGGTTTGGTTACAATAGGTTGTGTGTTGCGCACGGCTGATTTTGAAAAGAGTCACCGGAGGGATGCATTTTATGAAACCTCTCCGGTCTGTGCAAAGCCTGCGGCCGGTGTTGCTCGGAGTGCTGCATGGCCCAAACCCGCCCGTGACGGATCGGTGTGTGGTCTTTCGCTTTCAGTAAATCGTTCGGAGATGGATACTGCTATGCATACATATTCATATGCAGCTACAGCAGAAATATGTTGTATATTCAGGAGAACTATGTACACTGCCTGCTGTCTGTGCCACAGCCATCTCGCCGACGTGACTTTGCACAGCAGACCGTCCGCCCCCGTGCATCAGCCCTCACCACTCAGCATCGCTCTCGGGCCCACCGTTAGCGGCCCACAACCGCAGTGGCTCGTCCCAGGAGGACACAAACCAGAGCTCATTTCGAACATGAAGACTGCCATTCTCTCCGATCGAACAGGCTGAAATATAAGCGAGCGGCCAGCTCACGCACGACACCCATCCGCCGTCGTTTGCTATTTAGGCAGCGTCGACGTCCCGCTTCCTCTTGATGGACGCGTGCTTGTTTCCTAATTATATGCTGAACGTTTTACTAGCAGGGTCATGTATCCCCTGGAGTATGAAAGAGGTTTCTCATGGTGTTTTTTATTTTCTTGAATTGAACGCTATGGTGTCATCCATCGCGTTGTGCATTACGACGTCGTTGGATACAATGCTTGCACACTGTACGAAGGAGACCACGACTCACAATAATGCGTCTCGGTTTTTTTGTTCTGAAACGCGTCAATTGTCATGACCCAAAATGTTTGGATCTTGTTGAAAACTCGGGGACTGCTGTGTATGGGGCAGTATTCCGGAGGCGATACCCCATGCCATATTGGCACCTGTAGGAAGGGTTGCAATAGTTCCATTTGGTTTTCAATACAATAGTGTCCGTGCATCGGCTGGCTTCTTTTAATATTGCCTGTTCCCAAGGACTTGCTCTTCCGTCTTCGAAACGGCCCTGCGTCGCGTCTCGTAACGGCGGCTCTTTCGTCCTGCGTGCGCCGATGTGCAGCAGGCCAAGGACGACGGTTTTTAATTTTTTGCTACATCGAAAATGCGTAACCGTCGCCGCACCCATCCGTGTTCCCCCGTTGCGATCGCTCTCTCCTGTTTGCGTGTCCCCCTGGCGCACGAATTCCACACAACCCGTCACAGACCGCCAATGTACGGACCGAGGAAGGCAGCATATTTAAGTGGATCCTGGACGTCCCGGGCGGCAAGGGCACCAGCTGGGAGGGCCTCGTGTACGACCTCGAGGTCACCTTCAGCCGCAGGCACCCGTTCGAGCCGCCCCGGGTGGACTTCCCCCGCACCCACCGCAACGTGTCGAACCCGGGCCATCCGCTCGTGGATGCGAACGGCCGCCTCCGAATGCAGAAGCTCAGCTTCGACAAGTGGCTGCCCACGATAGAGGTATCACGAGGCGGGCACCTAGATACAGAGCGATGGTTTTTGTGTAGACAAGGGGGCTGCTTGCTTGCTTTGTGTAGATTTTGGTCCCGCCCCGAGCATGCGAAAACTGCGCCCGGAACAATGGTTGCAAAAAACAGAGACGTTTTTTTGCGGTGGGGTTGGGTTTGTATAGACGAAGAGAGCATGTTTTGGTGCGAGTGTTGGTGGTGCCTGTTTTGTACCCCTCCCTTCCTTCTTGTGCAACCCCTGGGTGTTGCAAGCATTGTGGTGGCCTGCTGGCCGTGCGAACACATCAGTTGTTCAGCATGGTACCAACCCCCCCCCCCCCCCCCCAACTCCGCCACTCCGCCATTGTGTGCTTCCCTTAGGCAAGCCAGGTGATTGGCTGGTTGTTTCACCTCTTCGAGACGGAGCCCCCTTGCGTAACGAGCGGCAACAGCTGCCCGTTCACGCACCTATCGTCCGAGACAGTTCTCCAGGTGCGCGAGCAACATCGAACCATAGCTCCACTACTGCCAATGGTTTGCGGAACTTCTCCCCTCTAATTCTCTCAGCCGGGGCGGGCACAAGACCATGCCTTTGCGTTAGCGCTCCTCATTTATCGTTTTTAGTAGTGTTTAGCGTTCTTCTTGCTGGTGAAAAAACGCTGGGGTGGAAGTGTCGTTCTGGCTGATTTCCGCTCATTTTTGCCAGTGGCGTCGGTCTAGGGAGCGTTTTCAGTGCTATTTAGTGCCCCACCTTCTGCGGCGGCTGCCGTTGCCGCTTGATTGTTCTGTTGCAATGCCCGCTGCAATGCTGGAACTTAGTTGAACTTGGAAGGATAATTTTGACCGACATGAGCACCTTTTCGTTTTGGGTGACCACGTGTTGGAGCACTCTACATGTACGTGCCCACCCTACACAACAATCCCCCGCCCTTGCCCCTCCTGTGCCGGAAACGCTTTCAATCGCGCCGACTCCAACAATGGAAGGTGCATACGTTTTTGGACGCTGGCGACCTGGGGCGCCTCTCGCAGACTAGCAAGCACATGCTCTCTCTCTGCTTCGATGAGGTGAGCGAGCTCTTAGTACCCTACAAGCAGCACTTCCCGTCGTGGAATGTGGCAGGACACAAAAAGGTATTTAGTGAGGTTCACACGGAAAGCGAAGTGTGGTATGCTGATTGTTGCTTAGGTCTTGCCGTCACTCCTTTCTTTCGCTGAGAGCGAAGGGCTCGCTAAGATGCAATCTAGCTGGAAACCGTCGTTTGGTTGTCTCTAATCGTTGACGGAAAGCAATGACGTGCCTACCCAGGGCCTCCAAACCGCGGCGGACACATGCCAACACTACGCCCGCCAACATTTTGGGTCCCCTCTGTCGACGAGCCAAGCTGTCCACAGGTTGTCTCGAGCGTCGAGCGTAAAGCTTCTCACTAATAATCCTCTTTGGTGCGACGTACACGCATCGTTCTCTCCATCCATCCCCACCAAAGTAAGAATACTTGGAAGCCTACTGAACGCCTGAAACGTCTGCCAACAAGGATGAGTGTTTGATGCAGCTTTCCTCTGCCTCTCCGCCAAACAAAAAAAAAAAATCGGGTTGAACGACAGGCGACTTGGGCGAAGCTGTACTACCGTTCGTGCACGTCGTTGGATGGTCTCTTGGGGGAAAAGGAGGGCGGTGCTTGCCCCGTGCGCGTGATGGGCGCTTCCGGGAAGTGGTTCTGGGAAGGATCCAGGGAGGCGTTTATCCGGTGAGACCTACTTGTTGTTGTTGTTTTATGTTGTTTTGTTGTTCATGTTGTCTTGTTGTTGCTACTGCTGCTGCTGCTGCTGCTGCTGCTGCTGCTGCTATTTTTGCTGTTGTTCCTGTAGAGTTGTTTTATTGGTGTTTAGGTGATTACTTTCGTAGGGTTGGGCCGTAATCTCTTCGGATGTCGACATGAGTAAAAGAGCGCCCCGCGAGTAGGGGCAGAAACGTCCTGTGCAGCAAGCGCTGCCGCCATCCCCTTCCTTTCGTAGCCCCGCGGCTTCTACCGCCGTGCATGGGTGGCTTGCGTCGATTTTCTGACTCCGTTATTCTCTTCTCGTTTCGCCTTGTTCTGCTGTCCCAATCCGAACGAAGCATACGCCAACCTAGAACCAACTGTTTTCTGTGTTAGTTTGCTCTCGGACCCCGAACGAAACATACTCCTTCCCAACCCCGCCATGTCGGCGCGTGCAATCGCGCCCGCGTGTGCTGGTGCGCAGGTCTTGGGAGATGAGAAAGGCGTGCAGTAGCGCGGCCTTCTCGACGGCCAAGACCCAAGAGCTGCACGTCAAGTGGGAGCTCAGTGGCCTCCTGACTGTGGCTGCGGGGCTGCTCCATGACATCCAAAAGTGAGCCTGCCCAGTAGTCGGCCGGCCAGAATTTTCTGTTGTTTTTTTGTTCGTGTCCCGGGCGAAGGGTGGTTGTGGGATGTGCTTGCTCGGGGTACTAGCGCTGTGCGGCGGACTGGGTTTGTCGTCGTTTGTCGTCGTGCTTGCATCTGTTTCGAGACATTTGTCATACGGATGTACGTTGTGTGTAATTTTCTCGAGGCGCTACAGTAGCAGTGATGTGTCTCGCCCGGCGTGAACGGCAACTCTCCATGCAACCTTTTGTTTGGCGAACCACAGCTGTTTCCGAGACTCCAAAGCCTTCTTCTAGTGCGGTGTGAGTGCCGATACGAAATAGGGGTCCACCTTCAAGTCACGGTATACCATATGTTGTGAAGGAGAGTGAACGGCTTGCTTTGGTCTGCCGGTACCGTTGTGTACAACGACGCCTCCTGCTGGCTCACATCCCTCCTGGTTCGTTGACGCGCGCGCAGCCGGCGGCTCGGTGATGTTTTCCCCGCTGCCAACGCGGGATACTTGCGCCACATGGAGCGGGTTCTCGATAGGTGAGGGTACGACAGAGGCGTAGCTCTTTCCCCCCCGACGCATCGATCCGGAGTAGACGCGATAGCGCCGGCCTTGCTTTTCCTGGTCCTCTCTAGGTGCCATCTGTCGGCTCCTCTGGCCCACCCAGGGGATCCTCCGAATTCGGTGTGGCGGGAGGTAGGTTAGCCAGAGCCTGCTGGTTTGTGTCTCGCTTAGCCGTGTGTGGCGACGTTGTCGTTGAGTAGCACACATCTCCTTTTTACTTCCGCGCCTGGTTGCGCAGGGTTTAGGCATGCAACGAACGGCCGACGTGTCGCCTTGCTAGGCGTCCCTCAAAAGAGCTGCATGCATCTGCCAGTCCCTCGCTAAATTCGCTATTTTCACACACATGCCGCTGCTCGCATTCCCACCGCCCTCACCCGCCCCAAATCAGCCTGACCATGAGGGTCGCGAGCTTGCAGCGACTGATGGCGTGGCCCGGAGTCTGCCGCGGTCTTCTTTCCGAGAAGGACGAGGACGGCTCCCTGCCGATCGACGTGTGGGGCCGGCCGGGGCAGCAGCGAAGGTCTCCTTCGCCGTCCCCATCACCTCACGAGAAGCAACACAGGTGCAATGCCGGCGCTGGCGGCGGCGGCGGCGGCGGCGGTCACGGGGGGGACTCGAGCGGGAGGGAGGCGAGGCTCACCCCGGAGCAACGGGAAGCCGTGCGCCTGCTCTTCGGAAACCTTGCCGCGCTGCCGGCGGCCAGACGCAGGCAGCAGCAGCAGCAGCAGCAGCAGCAGCAGCAGCAGCAGGGGCACCCCTTCGCAGATCCTGAAGCGGCGGCCGGGGCGGCGGCGTTGGCGGCGGCGGAAGCAGCCGGGGCTTGGCCCTGGGAGGAGCAGGAGGCCGCCGCGACGGCGCGGACTCCACCGGAAGGCTTCCCGTACCACCATCATGCCGTGGCTGGGCCGTACATCCCTTACGGCATGGGTAGGGTGGAACTTCCCGCTCGGGTCGGCGGAGAGCCGCCGCAGGTCCTTGCTGCGGCGGACGGCGACGATGAAATGGACGACATCGGCGGTGGGGCCGCCGCGGCCGCCGCCGCCGCGGCCGCCTCCAGCGGATGGGCCACCCTCCAGAACGCGCAGCCGGCGTGCGGCATGGGAGGATTGTTCTGGCCGACCCTGTACGACCTGATGGCCGCCAAGCGGCGGCAGCGCGAGCGACTGCGCGAGTGCTTCCGCAAGTTTTCTCGCGGCCAGAAGCTGGACGTCCGCGACCCTTCGGGTGTTTGGATGGGCGCGGAAGTGATGTGGGCCCCTGGGGACGGGGGCGTCGGTACCCTCCGCGCTGACGGGTGCGGAGAGGATGGCGGTGCCGGGGCTGGAGCCGGGGCTGCCCCTGCTGCTGGGGTGGCCGGGGGCGGTGGCATCCAAGGCGGAGGCGGCGGGGGCGGCGGAGGCGGCCCGTTTGCAGGCTCCCCCGTAGGTGGCGACGCCGGCATGCCGGAGTGGCGGCGGTTGCTTCAGCTCGGCCTTATGGCGGACGGTGGGCAAGCAGCCCCTCATCCGAACAACAACAACGCTGCGGCTGCAGCAGCAGCCGCGGCCGCAGCCGCCAACGACGCCGCCGCCGCTGCCGCTGCCGCTGCCGCTGCTGCTGCGGCCGACAACGTTGCCGGGGGAAACGGAGGCGCTTCCGACCCGAACTCTCCTTCCCTCGGCAGCAGCATCGGAGGGGACTGGGTCACCACCGAAGCCCCGAAGGCGTCGCAGTCGTTGCTAGCCTCCGCCGTCGCCTCCGCCGCCGATTCCCTCCCCAACCCCCCGCCGCGCCCGTGTCCCAGGAGGGCGCTCCCGGGGTCTCCGCCTCCTGCGTTGGCGAACTGGAACCCCGGCGCGGGCGCCACCCTTGCCGCTGTTCCTGCGGGCGGTGGAGCAGCGGACGCGGCGGCGTTAGGAGCCATCGCAGCCGCCGCTGTTGATCAAGCGGCGGCGCCGCCGGCGGCGGCGGGGGCGGCGGCTGGCGGCCCTGCGGCAGGGGCGCTGGTTTTCGGGCAAGGCGGCACCACGCCCCCCGGCAGCAACAGGAAGCTGGTGAGGGTCCACTACGAGGGTCACAAGAAGAAGTATGATGAGTGGATCAGCGTGCAGTCCGGGAGGCTGGCACCGTTCCGGTCCCGTACCACCCGGCCGCTGAGCGTGACGATGCAGTTTGTGGAGCAGGTGGTCAACGGCGCTTCCGTCAGGTCCGTCTGGTACGGTGCCGTGCTGTTGGGCCTTGAGTAAAAGGGGGGGCGGCGGCACGCTGTGTTTGGTCGCTCGCTTGCTTGCCCTTGTGTCTGATGTGCAACTGCTGTGTGGGCGTGTTGGGCATTCGTAGTTCGCATCGGCCGCGCCAACCCGGCCGACCAATGAAGATAAGTCAGTCTTTAGCGGGATAATAAGCACGAACACAATCTAGTCAAAGGACCGTATGTGTGTGTGTCGATCTAGCTGTTTTGTCAAGCGTGAGCGGGTACTTGGGTTTGTCGTAAATTAGCCATCGAACACCTCGGAAAGATGGGACAGGGCGTGTTGGGGTCTTGACGACCAGGAGGGTAGAGGCGGGTCGTGGTAGCGTTTGGTGCACGTGTTATGATCAGATTGTCCGTTAGGTTGGAAGTCGAATCGCACCCCGGCTCCCACCCTCACCCCTTCCAACACTAGCATAGGTACGGTTTTAATGTTTGCATGACGTCTCCGTCATTGTCTCCCCCCCCCCCCCCCCCCTTTTCCCCC